TTAGAAAATATTTTATTCTTTTTAAAAAATGTTTTAGTTTATATATTTTATATTTTTAAATGAAATTAAGTGATTTTTCTGATTGTTTTATGTATTTTTTGATCTATTTTTGTAAAGTATTGTTATTTAAATATATGTCCTTGAAATTGTCTTAAATAAAATTAGAATTATAATTGTTCTATTTTAAAATGTTTTGAGCTTCTGATTATAATGATTTCTTTAATTTCATAAGAATATGTTAGTAGTTCCTACAAACTTTGGTTTAAAAGGATGAAAAAGTGTTTGTAGTGATGTTTGAGTAATCTTGTATTTAAAAATAGTAATTTTAACGATATAAAAATCATTTATATAGTTTTCTGCTAGAATATTGTATATTTAAATATGGAATATTTTACTTGAAGTGTTTATTAAATTTTTTTAGTTAAAATTAATCTTTTATTTATGAATTTTTGATTTTATAAAAAAAGGTTTTTTATAAAGGAAATGTAATTTTTTAAATCTTTAAAAAAACTGCTTTTATATAATTCTTAGAAATTGCATTTTTGATTAAAATATTTAATTTTTTAATTTTGTAAAAAGTAATATTACTTTTTGATCTTAAAATGCATAAGTGTACTTTTGTTAATATTTTAAAAATAGAATTGCTTTGAATCCCATAGTTTTAAAAACTTGTAATGATATTTTTAAGACAAATGTTAAGATTCAAAAGTATAAGAAATACTTATTTATGTTTATATTTTAAAATTAATATTAATATTTATCATTGAGTAAAAATGCGTTTTTCTGTAGATGATCCTAATTATAAACATAAACTTTTGATCTTGAGCAAATTCATTTTTATTAATATTTTTAATCTATTATAAAATATAGTAATATAAATGATAAAACTTCAGAGAACAGCTAAAATGTTATTAAAAATCATAAATATGATATTTTTATTAGATAAAATATTAAATAATATCTTTATTTTTGATTATAAAAATCGTTTGAGTCGATTATTGTTTTAAAATTGGATTAATAGAATTATTATGAATATTTTTTTGATTTTTATTGTATATTAAAATACGTATTGATTTTTTCTGTTATAATTAACTATTTATGGACCTTACTCAGGGTCGCTTTTATTTTAGAAACTATAGATTTAATATATTTAAAAGTCCTATTAAAAAATATATGATCAGAATAAAATTATATATTGAAAAAATTGATCATTTAAATGTTATATGAAATACATAATATCCAATATAGTCTTTAGAAGAATGGTATTTTGTTAACTTAATATAACATATGTACTTTTAAATAGAACTCTTCCAGTATATATGAATTATAAGACAAAATCGAATATTATTATATATGAAATTCCTATTTCTAAAACGTCCCGTAGTTATCCAACATATAAGTTAACGATGCCCTGCGTACCTGATAGTCCCTCTGTCCCATATAAATGTCGCATTTCTACTGCCATTTGTACATCTTCATCTGAATTAATCGTAATATGATCACCATCTTCATCTTGATATCTTATTCGTAATGGCTGTTTAAGATTTTTTGTAGCATAATTTCCACAAAGATGAATTTTACGTTCTACTCTTTCCATTAATTGAGCATATCCAATAGTTGGTGCAACAATAATAACAAAAATATCATCTAAATAATTAACCTTAATTTTTACTTGATTTTCATTTTTGTTTCCTTCTAAGCGAGTGTGAGGAATAGTAGAAGGAGAAATATTACCAGTTGTTGTATTTGGAGATTCAGTTGTTCGTCGTGATAATGATGTATTTGGAGAAATAGACGATGTACTATCATTGTGTTCAGTCTTATGGTTTGATATTACATGTGATGATGAACCCGACGATAAAAGGCTAGTATTAACAGGGATTTGATTTTCCGGAAATGCATTAATTATAGGATTACTAATAGAGCGCATATTATTTTTAGACATCATATCCGGTATCGAAGTTGGATGTATTGGAAGACGATAATTCTGTAATGAACAAGGGGTATTGTTTTTGTGAGATGTTTGAGAAACAGATGGTATAGTATATCTAAGCTGATCAAGGTCATGATTAGAAGTATTTTGTGTATTAAATCCTGTAAATGAATAAGAATCAGTAATAGATGAGCCTACGCTTTCCCTTGCGTGATTAGACGATAATTCTGTTGTTATTGATATATGGGAATCTGGAATCATAAAATTATTTTCAAATGATTTGCAATCTATATTTTCCGAGACTCCCTTAGAATTTTCCGAATATGATTGATAGCATATTTGTGATGCTTTTGAGGTTTGAGATAGATTTCGAGAAGAGCATGTTTGAGTACCGTAGCAGTTATTTCCAAAATTAGTAATGCTATCATTTGTTGCAGATCTCGATCTTACACTGATCGAAGATAGATTTTTATTGATAGTTGATGTTTTGATATCATTACTATCGTCAATAATATCTCGTCCATCTTTATAAGAACTTTCGTTATCACTATCATCTGTTGCATAATTTTTTGACTTTATATTGAAGTTCTTCATTGCATTAAATTGATTATCAATTTTATTATATCTATAATTCATTGTATTATGGCTGATTTGAGTACTATCTTTAGATTTTGATTCTTCTATAAGTTTTTTGAGTGCATTATACCATTGTTTTAAATTCTCTTCATTGCGGCATTTAAGTATAAAAAACTCTTCTTCTTGACCGTTATGCCAATGAACATGTAAAGTATATTGCCCTTATCTCTTTAGTAATATAAAGAATAACTTCAATATATACCGTTTTTGGAAAAAGAATTAATATTCGATACACTATTAATAAAAATTCTGCCTTTCAATTGCAAACTCCGGCGTTTCTTATGCGATTTCTTTGAAATAGACATGACTTTTGCTTGTTTTTTCGATGCAGAAATTTCTTTGCAACAAAGTAAAATTCTTTCAAAAAGATATACATGATACTCTCTTTCCACATCTCCTTTAATTACAATAAATACATCTTCAAGCAAAAGTGCGCCAAAACTTGATACATTGTGTCCTTTCCAATCTTCTATCTTTCTTTCAAGTTCCATAACAACAACTTCATTTTCTTGTCGACGACGTGTTTCATTTACACGATCCGTTACTCGTTTAATTGCATACATTCCTTGTTTTAATTCTTCGTAATGAGGATCTGATGGGTCTGTATATTTTAATAATTCCTAGGTTTTTTAGAATAATAATAATATATATTTAAATACTTTAAGTAAAAGTGGATATTTGCAAATTCTTTGAATAGGTTTAATTAATAATGATGGCAGTTCATATGTAGGCTCCACTATATGTGCAAGTTTATTTAACCTTGATGTCTCCTCTATAGCAAGATCAGAAGCGTATGTATAATTTGAACAAAATGGTTCATATATGCTAAATGATTCTTCCTATTTTAAAATTGAACTTAAATGAAATGCTTCCTATATATAAACTTACCATTTGTATAAACAATGCACCAAATCTTTGATGTTCAGGCTGGAGAGCAGAGTTAGCTTCTATACCAATGAGGAATCTACGTTGAAAATCGACAAGCATATTAAGATTAGCAAATAAAAGATGAATTGTATCTGCTGAGACAATTTCGTTTGACTGGAGTTCATGCATATAATTCTAAAATTAGAAAACTCTTTACAACTATTTCATCTTACTTGTAAAGTTTCCATATCTTGAACATATTTTCTTTCTGTATCTAAGAGTTCTGCTACTACTTTTGCTCGGTTATCTTTTGGTTTTTTTATATCTTGATCATTATATATTATTTTTTTCCTTTTAATCAGAAGGTTTTTCTCTTCTAACTTGTCTAATATAAGAGATACCGTCTTTGTAACCTAGTTTATTATAAATATTTTTTTATAAAACACAAAAAAATTTAACTTTAACAAATCCGTTTGTATCATCTTGATATAACTGAGAAATAGAAAATAAATCATCATCTTTATATCCAAGTTCATTGCGACAAGCTAGAAGAAAATGATATACACTTGCTTTACATGCATTCATGCTTGTTAGGTAAAAATCTGAATTAACAGCCAAAGGTTTTGAAGGTCTAAGTGCATTATAAAGAGCACAAAGACTAGCACCTTGTCGGAAACATTGCCAAAGCAAAGAAACAGGATCATTCACTATTCCTGCTGGAAAAAGATCATTTTGAGACTTAGCATTATTTAAATAAATTTCGAAATTTGGAACATTAAGCAAACGTCCATGTATCTCTCTGCATATTTGATAAATGGATGATGATGCAATAGCAGGCTTATTAGTTATAGAATTCGAAGGTAATGGCACAAATTTTGATGATAAATTTCGATTATTTATAGTTTCTATAGAACTTGCTGATGCGGAAGAATGTAAGTCATCATATTTTGAAAAATTATTGGATGCATTTGTAGATATATTTGATTTTGTTGAGCGAGATTGAGTCATTGATACTATTATAGTATGTTATTAATAAACGTTTAATCTGAATTTAAAAAAATAACATAGGGCCCTTTTTCTAATCTTATTTGTCTATAGAAGCCTTGTCTTTTTATAAAGTAAAAAGAAATCGACTTTTTACGCGAAAATAAAGCTTGATATAAGATTGTCTAATTTTTGTCTAGATTTATAAAAATAGTGTATTTAGCTTAAAAATTAAAAACTTCTGTTATATATTTACTTTTTCCTGATATTAATTCCAAATAAAAAATATTTTTGAAGCTTTTAGTTATTTTTGATCTTAGTTGTATTAAATTTATGTTGCTTTTTTTATTTATAATTATCGTGTTTTTGTAAATAGGTTTTTTAATCCGTTTAAATGAAAAATTAAAATATTTATCTTAGAAATGATAACTACTTATAATATGTATATTAATGAGACAAACAAGAATAGCATATTCAGAAGAATAGCTTTACAGCATATATATAATAGAAATTGTTACGAGTTATTTGAAAAGTATACGTATTGTACTAGAAAAATAACAAAGTATTAAAGTCATACTTATTTATGAATATACACTGTTCCTTAGCATTTGAATATATCATAGATACTATATATGATTGTTTTGTATCATATCTTTTTTTAGTTGACGAAGAGCATTTTCAATTTTACGTCGTTCTTCCAACTCTGCCTAAAGTGTGTTTTAAATTGTTATAAGTATTATGTTTTATTATGATATCTACCTTCATTTTCTTTGAATGTTCTTCTCTTATTTCTTGTACCATTTTTCGGAATTCTTTTCGAAGTAATGCAATGTTCATTGCTTCATCATGTTCTGTGTTCGATTTTTTAGGCGAAAGATTTTCTTTTCCAAGCCATTGTATTTTTTTATCAGATAATCGACCTTCAAGTTCTTCACATTTTTCTTTTAAGGTATCGATAGTGTTTTCAAGATGGGTTCTTTCCGATTCAAAGTCTAACATATTCCGTGTAATTTGTTCAAAATCATTCAACATTCCATTAAGTTCCGATTGAAGAAGTTGGCAGCGCTTTTCTAGATTAATTTCTTTCTCTGACATCATTTTATTTTTTTCCGTTATTTCCAATAAATTATTTTCTTGTAATGATTTTGATGATTCAAATATTTCTGTTTCTTCATTTATATAATTATTTTCTACAGTCTTTCAGTTTCTTTTTAATTCATTATATCTTTATTACCATTTTCAAATTGTGTAATCATAGTTTTTTCTATTTCTTGTTGCTTTGAATTGGATATAGTATCAATTTCTGTTTTTAATATAGTTATCTCAGTTGACAATTTAACAATATCGTTTTCGAGATTCTTTATTGTTTCGTTTGCTTTATTTTCATATGTTAGCTGTTCATCTTTGTATTGAGAGTGAAGAGATTGTATTTTTTCCTCAAGTATTGCATTAATGTTTCGTAATTTAGAGATTTCATCTTGTAATAATTCTAAGGTTGATTCTTTTTGTTTAATCTTTTTTTGAAAATCGGATAAAGAATCTGAATGGGATTTTGAAAGGTTAGAGTAATTATCATTAAGTTCTTGAAATTTAATTTCGTTATCTTTAAATTGCTTAGCATAATCTTCTATTATATTTTCTAGATTTTCCCGATCATCCTTCCATTTCTTATAATCATCTTCTTTGTCATGCTTAGTAATCTCTATTTCTTTGTTCAATGAATCTATTATTTGCTGATATTCAGATATTTTTTCATTTGCATCATATAGTTCGGATGATATAGATGATTCACGTACAACGAATTCTCCAATGGTTTTTTTAGCTTTTGAAAGATCTATGTCCAAATCGTTAATTTTATTTTCATATTCCAGTTTTAATGAATTTATAGCTGTCATATTGTTTTCTTCTTGGACTTTTTCTTTTTCAAGTAAATTTTTATACATTTTTTTGCTTTTAGATAATTCCGAAGTAAGTAACTCTACTCGAGATATCAAACTATCTATCGAGAATTGTCCATGTTCTATTGAATAGCTTTTTATTGGACAATCTTCGATATCTGTTTTATCCCATATATATTTATAATTTTTTTGGAACTCTGCTATTTGAAGTAATGATGCCTCTTTAAGTTCTAAATATTGTTGGTGTACATTACATATAGTATCTTCTAATTCTGACAAAATTTCTAGAACATCTATTGAATTATAATTAAGATGTAATTGATTTTCTGTATATTGATTATTAATATGTTTCCCTCCAGCTAAAAAGGATTTTAATTGGTTATTTGATATTGTAAGACGTTTTTGGATTTCAGCTAAAGTATATGATATGTTATCGTTTATTTTATTTTTTCTAGATTCTGTGTTCTCTGAAAGTTCTGCATTATTGATAGATCTATAAAAATGAAGCTCCCCAAAATCATATAAATCTATAGGTTTTTTTTCTTGAAGAAGATTAGAAACATGTCCACTCATTGTATGCTTTTCCAAAGCATATCTTAATACTCCAGCTGTATGTTTCAATAACCGAATAGAAATTTCGTGTTCATTTTTCTGAAGACGCCATAGTTCTTCTGCCGCTTCTTCGATTTTGCTATTTGAAATAAGTAGTTGGTCTTCAACTTGACGCGATATTCGTTTTCCTCTGTTAGAATGAAGACGCGATAAAGATTGTGCAGCTTCTCGAAGTTTTGATTCCAAAGCCAATGTCCTCCGTACTGTTTCTATTCTATTAAGTAATACATGTTTTTCCTTGTTTTTTTAGATTCATTTATTGAAAAAAATATATCTTACTTTTTTTAATTTTTCCACATCCTCTAATGATAGTATTTCATATTCTTTCGAATCAAACACGGCATTAGAACTAAGATATTGCATTCCTATGTCATCCTGTTCATTAATAAGAGGCAATATTTGCGAGTCTGTATAATTGCTTAATCTATTTTTTTCTTGGTTATCATAAAATTCTGTGGTATCAAGTAAAGATTTTGCTGGAGGTACAACATTCCCGTATTTGGTTTTTAATTCTTTGTCATATGAAACTGTATTCATATGAATTATTATAATTATTATAATTTTAATATCTATTATTTATTTTTTAAAACAGTTTTATCATTTCCTGATAAAGTTTTGATAATCGAGTGAACCAAAAATAAATAATTTAAAAATAATAAATGAAAATTATATAAACGTGTTTAAATTATTATAGAAATATATAAATAATATATAACCGACTATGAAGCATGGAGAGATATTTTCAAATTATAGGCTTATTGTTCTTATTATATTCCTGTACCGCAATACCAATTTTAGTAAATATAAATTTTTGGCTAGTAGTAGAATTTATAGGAATAAAAGGACCATTAACTCCATCTATTTCATTCAGGTTAACTGTTTGAAATAATGATAGTTTTACCTCTTAGAATTAAAATGATTCCTGATTTTTTAAGTGATATAGTCTGTATATTACAAAGTGGAATTTCCCATTCAACATTAAGTTTTCTAGATCTTATCATCATTATTCTTGTATATGTAACCATTAATATTGTGCCTTCAAGAATATTCAAGTGTGCTAAGTATTCTTCATCGAAATATCGACCATTATTAATTTGTTTTAGTAAAAATAATCCAAAAGCTAAATATATTAGATTTACTAAATATAAAATATCTCTCATTCCTTCTCTTTGAAGATATGGTCTTATTACACCATCTTTTCCTATAAATCTTGTTAAGCGAACTTTATCTATTCCTTCTGTATCGAAAACTGTTGTAGTATTGCGAATTCCTATAGAAATTAAATAATTTATATAGAAATGACAAATTAGCTTACCTTCTGTAACGTTACTTGCTAAATCAAGGACTCCAACAACGGGTTTAGTAGCAAGTCTATGCATATTAAAAATAATTAGGAAAAATGAAAATATATACCCAATTATGCCTTTTCCTATACCTTTAAAAAAACCAGCAGCGCCATCTTTTTCTGCCCCTTCTAAGGGCTTTCTGGCAAGACCTTCTACTCCACTTGCTATGCTGGAAACAAAAGAATTTGCGCCAGCTGCGACACCATACAAAGCATGTTTTGGTCTATTTCGCCCTTGAATTAATCTTCTACGATTTTGGAATTTCTTGTCCATTGTTGCTACTGAAAGACCTTTTTATTTTATTATTTTGAATTTAATGATAATATTTTTTACCCTTTGAAATGCTTCCTGTCAACTTTGATACACTATCTGCAACACCGAAAACAGTTTTTTTTACAAAACTTGCTGTCCCCTTAACCAGTCCAAATCCAAGTTCTTGTGCACTTTCATTCATTACAAAACCATGATATGGTTCATAAAATATGTCTATAACTCCAGAGCTTACTGTATTAAACAGGCCAACAGGATTACCAAGGAAATCTGCTGAACCAAGAATTTTATGAATTTGATGAAAAAATTCCTGACCATAATGACTTTGCATGTGTTGTATTAATAATGGTAGTGACATTAGAACATTTTCCATTAATAAGGAATTTAAACGAATAGGAGCGTCATTTATATTTCCAATTGCCATTGTTAACACATTCAAGAAAAATAAAAATGGATTTTTTGAAGATGTTCTAATATTTGTTATTTTAAAATTATAATTTTATGCTGGAAAATATTACTTGTCTTCCACGTTTACTCTTTCAGTTCTAACAAAAGAAAGGTTTAATTGAGCAGGTTGAATATGTAATACTTCAAAATACATTTCTGTTCCTGAAGTACTTTTTTGAGGTTCTGGGATTTCAAGATTTTCGTCGCAAAGTATTTCTTTTTCTTGATCTATATCAGACTGTCCAATATGTCTAGTAAAGTCTAATAAGGCAAAAAGGAAATCCTCGTCTATTTCTAATGTCATTTCTTGAATAAGTATAGTTGCATATTTTATATATATAACTCCATAGGCTATAAAAGTTAGATGTTTAAAAAGAAGGATTATATTTACAATCATCTTTTATTCTAATTAATGAAGAATGAAATGATGGATGTGTATCCATTTCTTTGCCCGTCTTTTGAATTACGCTCGGATATAATATTATTGGATAAATACCTCCGTATAATTGATTATCAATCTAAAAATAGTTTATTTTAAAAAAGATCAAATGTGTTATTTTACTTGAATCCATTTTATAATAATATCAAAGTTTTGAGATATAGGAGAATCGGTATATTTTAAATTTAAATCTCGAAGTGTAATATAACATAATTCAAAGTGGCGATTACTTATTACAGAAATGCCAATTCCCTCTAGCTTGACTTCTGCTTTATACGTGATATTATCACTAGGATTAATTATTTGAAATCCCTTTTTGCAGCTAGCATTATCTGTTAATGTTGAAATGCTTGAAATATTTGTTCTAGGCTTATTAATATTTCCGTCTTGAGAATTTTTCAGTACTAATGTTTGTGAAGGCCCATTTGCTATAACATTAATATCGATAGTTTTATATAATTCTTTATTTATCTTTGAAAAATAAAAAAAAAGAAAATAGTATAAATGAATTACTTACAGGAATTTTCATAGGAGCCAAGCTTCCTATTTCTGACAATTGTATTATTCTTTCTTTACCATTTGCTGAAAATACTAATTCTTTATTTTTTGAAGCAGGATAATCCCAAGAATATGGCATTACACTTTTTCCAGGAATGAGATACGTTTTAACCTTGTGCAAAGATTTAGTTTTTTTATCATTATTGAGAGAAGAATAAGGGTTCTATTTTCGATAAAATTATATAAATATAAAAAGGGTATAAATACTGGTTGATAGAAAGTAAAAGTAATGTCGCTTTCGTTGCGAATGGAATATGGCCAGTTATTTTTTTCTAAAAGCAAATGAATAAATACTGTCGCCTCTTCTAACATTATTTCAATTCTAATGAGCTGCTGAGTCTTTTTATATTTAGATAATTTTATGTGAACTCTTCCTAAATTTTGAATATTAAACGGAGAAGACCTATTTTTTTCAGAAAATAAATAGACGAACAATTAAAATACCATTCATTATTTGTTCCTGGGAAACGTAAAATTAGTTGTTTTTCGGATGTTTTTTCCATAAAATATAATGGCATTTTTTGTAAAGAATATAAAGTCATTATGTTTGATGACTTGGGTTCACTTATATTGATATCTTCGTCAAGACCACTTTTAATGATAAATCTTGGTGTTAGATTAACAATTTTTGTTAATTTATACTTTTAATTCATATTAATAAATAATAATTTATCGAATATATGTTACCTCTCCTTCTCCTTCTTTAACAACAATACCAATATGTATTTCTTTTTGTTCAATGGAACTCAAAACAATTTCTGATGCACTTCCAATGGCTTCGAAACTCTGAGGTTTGCTCCAGTTTGAATTTCCAACTTTAATCAATGCTCTATTCTTTCTATCATGATTTCCATATGAGAACATATATGGAACCGCTTTTTGAGGAGGGCCTATGATTTATTAACATTTAATGTTATTTTTAATTTAATTATTTATACCAATAGAAAACTGCCCTGCTGCAATTTTTGCTTGTTGTAAAAATAATTTTGATTTTATTTGAATATCAAGACCAGTTTTGTTAAGAATTAGGTAAGGACAATATATTGTAACACGAAATACTTTTCCACTATCGGGGATTTCACTATTGTTTTAAAAACATTGCAAAAAAAAGATAGAATGTACTTACTAATAATATAAACAAAGATGAAGCTTCAAATTATCTTTATCTTCTACAATTATTTTGGTTTCTCTCCTAATTTTGTCAGGATTAGGAGTATTAATGACAAAAAATGAGCTAGGTTTATAGACTACAGATAAGCTAAAAATAGAGGTTTATTTATATAGATACCTGTGTTTTGAATATGAATCCCCATAAGAAGTATGTGAGATAAATCTGCTGTATGTATATAACTAGATTCTTTTTTTTTTAGAAAGTTTTGCCACGTGGATTTTGTATTCTTATCAAAAATTTTATAATTTAAGTCATATGGAAGAAGATTTTGAATAATAATCGGAGGACTTATTTTAATAGTCATATATGGATATACCCTTTTATTATTAATAAAGAATAAATGTAATTATTTCAGACTAACTTTGTTAAAGGATTTGATTTATCATAACGAGCATAGATTTGAAAATTAAACAAATCGTCTTTTTTCTCAGAAGATTCACACGAAATTACATATGATGGTGACTCCAATAATCCTTTCCATGTTATGGTTTGTGAAGACCATGAGTATTTTAAATGAGCTATTAAATTAGATTTAATTTTATTTAATAAAAACCTACATTCTGGTCGGATTTTAAATGCATGATAGTATGCAGATTCTATTGGGATAGGATAATCGTTACCTGGTTCTATTTACATTAGTTTAAGTAAACTTCATTTGTATTAAAAACCAATTTTATATGTTTCTAAATGTTGACATTGATTATCAATGGTTATTATTTCTATAGGTACTTGTGTTTGGTTTTCTAAAGAGAGCGTTGATTTCAAAGTTATATGTTTTATATTGTCAGAACTAAGAATAGTTTTAACCACAAGTCTGTGTAAAATATCTGTTTTTGGTTCAAGAAAATATAATTCTTCTCCTTCATAATTAATAGAAATATTTTCTATTGGATTCCATTTTGTATTTTCAAAATAAATTCCAATAAAATGTTTTTGACATTCATCTAAAATGTCCTATATATGTTAAATTTAACTTTTCCTAAATTCTAATAATATACATTTTTCATTTGTCTCCAATTTTCAAATTTCCATGGAATGGTGTCTCCATTTTTTAATTTATATATATTTTTTTTAGTGTCTTCATCTTTAGAAGAATTTAGCCATAAGTTTATAGAATAACCTGTTCTGTTTTGTATCATATAAGGAGCTTCAGAGATTTGATATTTGGAAAGAGTATTTTGTGTTTGTGTTAGGAAATGCAACATTTCTGTTATTGTCATAATAATGTTCGATGTTACAATTATTTCTAGTCTTTTGCTTGACGATAAAATAATAGAAAATCTTTCTGGAAATATAGTTTTTGTGACCTATTTCTTCATTAATAAAGATATTAAGAAAACATATTAATACGT